TACTCAGAGTTGATATTTACCTGTGACATATAATAATCTAAATGAAAGGAAAAAAAACTATTTTTAATGGTATTATTAGCTGATATGAAAAAGATTAAGAGATACAAATATCCCAGCAGTTCTGATCAAACAAAAATTTTTCACCCCCCAGAACTTGGGATGTTTGGCATGGTAATTTTGGGATACTCCTATGTTAAGCATTCTCACAAGTAAGTATTATTTGTTTTCTTGTCTTTTTTCCTCAATACATATATATATATACATATATGTGTGTGTGTGTGTGTGTGTGTGTGTGTGTGTGTGTGTGTGTGTGTGTGTGTGTGTGTGTGTGTGTGTGTGCATATATATTCATATATATATAAATATATATATATATATATATATATATATATATATATATATATATATATATATATATATATATATATACATATATTTATATATATATATATATGTGCATATATATATATATATATATATATATATATATATATATATATATATATATATATATATATATATGTATATATATATGCACATATATATATATATCCGTAGGGACATTTAAAATTTAGGGGGGGCTGCAAATTTTCTGCCTGAGTGAAAGAGGAAGAGAAATTTCACCTGCCAGAAAATTTGTGATGAATGCCACCAGTGGCGTAGATAGAGGGGGTCGGGGGGGGAGGAACCCACCTATAAGGCTATACTACCATTTTGTCAGAAAATTTCTGCACTTGTCGGAAAAATAACGATGGTTTTCTGTTTCCTTTAGTTCTAGTGGCCTTACGCTCTGTTCAAACTAATAAAAAATGAGAATTAGTGTCATAGTGGGATATCTTAATTTCTTGCCCCCTCAATGAATTTTCCTATCTACGCTCCTGCCCAAAATTGCCCGAATTCAACCAGCATTTACCCGACTAGGGGTGGGGGCTGCAGCCCCCCCACCCCCCCTGGCTCCTACGCCTATGTGTATATGTACACACACACAAAGTTGGCAAAGGACTGGGTAGTCCTTGTGTTGTTACTGCTGGCTGAGGTTCTCTGGAGCTGTGCTGGTAAGAGAGAGGACAAGGCTGTTAGACCTGGTGTGACTCAGTATGGAATAATGCAGGTTGTGTGCCATGAACTCAAGTTTATAAGTGAATTTAGTGATGCCAGTTCCAGTGCAGAAGGACCAAGCTACATGTCCTGATGGCTCTGTTACTGCCAGTTTTACTTTATGAAAGTTAAACCTGCCAGATCACATGGTACAGTTGGCAGGACCATGTGTCCAACCAACAGTTACACCAAGACTGGCAAAGACCTATTATTTGCAAAATCCCTGATTGCTATCTCAAGCTACACAGGCACTAAGCTTGGTTCCTTGTGGATGATCCTGCCCATCTCTTTTCAAGACAACCCTGGGTTGAGAAGCCTATAAGACATCCCAGAAAGTTGGGGCTGGGGTAGATTAACTAGACCTGTGGTAAGGAGTTGAAGATGGGCTGAGGACCTGCATGGCAGCTTGCTGGAAACAAAGATGGATGCAACTGTGAACTCCTATTGGTATCAGCCTCATTGATTAATTAATTGATATGGATATCATGAGCACAAAATTGAAAACATGATTAGTCTAGATATATGAATAGTAAAATCAATGATATACCAGTAGGTAACTATATGAGAGTATAGGTGATATTTTGGTGTGTGCAGGGGAACTGTGGGAGAGCAAAAGATTAGGAGTTTGACTGGATATAATATACCATACAGTACCAGAAGTACTGTATGATTGGCTCAGGCAGACAAGTAGAGTGAGGGTGTGGTGGTGATATTGGCAAGTTAACTTGCCAATATCACTATATATGTTAACCTCTTAGAACTGAGTGCACTGCAGCTAGCATGTGGCCCAATATCTAGGCATTAGGCTTACTTGAGTAGTGATGCTCCTGTGTGGCTTGTGGGCCCAGGCCACATGAACACTAGTGTGTGGTGTCAAGACTCCTTGCTTCCCTTTTTAATGTTATTATTGTTTTTTTCTGTATGTGAGTTTTTTTCCTTTCTCCAAGAACTCTATTAGTCTTTTGATATACACTAAATCAAATAATAATAGAATGTTTCCTTGCATATATAGTTTTTTTTATTATATTAAAGTATTATTAAATTTTCTGTAACACAACCTGCACTACCGGTCAGGGCAGGCAGGTATTGGATCCTGAGCATGGAAATAAGTGTTGTCCTTGTTGCTGGTGTTCTTCCAACCATGACTCTCTGATGTTTGTTTGTATAAATGTCAGTTTTGACAAATAAGACTTTCAGAAGTTAATATACTTAACATATTAAAAAAATAAGTCACTGGTTAGGCTAACTTTCATCTTTACTTTATTTTCTGTAACATTTAATGTATTAAATGTGTGAGGTGTGTGTAAATGTGTAAACCAGTTTTTCAATTTTTCAAAATTTAAAGATTATCAGTGTCAGCTTTATCCTCCCAAGATAGTTGAGAACTATCAGACATCCAAAGCATCGCACAGTAATTCTCTCAAAACAGATTGCATAGCAATATGCAACCTATCAAAATTAATTTACATTAGTTTTCTTCAGAATCAGTTTAGCAAATCTTTCATTCATTCTATCTCTAAATGCTATTCAAAAAGTAGTGTCAGCAAAGTCAAATTTAGAACACTTATACCTTGAGGAAAGAGAGGAGAGGACAAAAGATATGTCATGTCTGTAAAATACATGTATACTGTTATGACATTGAAGGGTGACTGGTAATTCAGATCATGCCTTTCATTGATTAGTCAGGGTAATGATGTTTTTACAAAGAAGTTAAACCCATATCTTGGATAGAGATGCAGTGAGTCATAGGGGCTGCTGTTGTAAATTGAGTTGTGTGAGGGCAATTATCTTTTAGTGGGGAGGCCAGGTGAGGGATAAAAAATTGTTTCATGTGTTAGAGATAAAAAAAAAAAAAAAAAAAATTGAGTCATCAGGTGTACATGCATAATCAGTCACAGAAATCTCATGTAAAGTGCAACAAAATACCTGTATTATACTATAATGAATAAAATGGTATACTATTGATAATCATTAATCACTTCTCAGGAAGAAGCTACCAGTCTTCAATGCTGTTCTCCTTGGTCAGTGTGGACGACTAGCAAACTTAGCAGCCATTATCTGGTACCCAGGGTTCAGCACAACATTTCAAGTGTTAATGCTTGTTTTTGTGTTTGTATCATCTGTGCAAAGCACTAGAGGTGAGTATTTACTACAGTGTTCTTGTACAGAAATTGTAATGATATTGATGGTAATGACACAAATAAGTAACAATAAAGCTCTAAAACCTCTTTGTTTTTGTTTGCAGCTGCATTACATTTAGGGAAAACAGAAAGTTTGCTACTACTGACTGTGGCATTTTCTAGTAGTATGTTTTCATGTCATAAATTACAGCCAATTTTGCTTGACAGCTACCATTCTTATGTCCATAGCCATGTGTTCACTAAACAACCTTTTGTACTATGAAAGCTTAGTTAATAAACAATATTATACAATTCTTGCATTGAGGAAAGATAACATGTATTTGTTAATTTATATTTTATTTATTAAGAATTTCCTGCTTTGGCAACATTCAGGGTCATTATCAGCCCCAAGTATAGCATTATGATAAAGTATTGTGGCAAAAATTATTATTTATTGGAAATTTTCTGCTGCTTCAACATCTGGGGTCATTAGTGGTATATTCAAAATAGTGATATGGTAAAGCCTTAAGTAAGGATGTTTAATTTTTTAATAAGGTGATATTTGTGGATTCCGAGAATAGTTAATGGTTAAAACAAATAAATTTGCTAGACAAAGGTCATATGACAAAAGGGCAAAAACGAGTCAACAACCTGGAGAAGTGGACAGAAGAAGGGAATGAAGAAGATAAGGAAAAGGAAAGCAGTTGAGGTAATAACTGAGGTCCAATGTAGGGGATCACCCTACATTGGCCCTCAATCCCCATCTCCTAAATACCTCCACAACAACAAGCAGGGGATTGGGGGGATGTGGCAGTATCATTAAAAATGAGTTAATGATTAGGATAAGTGGACAGAAGAAGGGAATAAAGAAGAGAAGGAAAAGAAAAGGAGTCGAGGCAAGGGCTGAGGTCCAAGGCAGAGGTGATCCCCTACACTGGGCCTCAGTCTCCATCTCCTAATTTATTTCTATCTATTGAAAATTCTCTGATGCGTCAACAGCTAAGGTCATTAGTGGCGTATTCAAAATATAGTGATAGCGTGAGGCTTGGGGCAAAGCCGTAGGTAAGAAAGTGCTTTGACATCAAAGATTATATCGCACCGTGGTAAAGTAGACTAGTGAAAAGGGTTAGGAAAGAGTTAGGGTAAATTAGGGTAAAGTTACAGGTTGAACAGGCCCAATGTAGGGACCACCACTACTTTGAACCGCAGCCCTCGGCTCAATAAATTTTGCAGGGTCTTTTCTTCCTCTTTCCTTTTCCTTCTCTTCCTCATCCCTTTCTGTCCACTTGTCCAAATCATTGATTCATATTTACCTTTTTCGCCACAATACGTTACCATAATGCTGTGTGACCTTTGACTTCTGGTACTTTTGTTTGTTTTGACTGTTGACCATTCTGGAAATCCACAAACCCTGTATTCTGTATATGCTGCTAATGACCTTAATGTTGATGTGGAAGAATATTTTCAACAAATAGATAAATAAAACCTAAAGATATTTTTGTACTTCAGTCAGAATAAAGAGGAAAAATATGTAGAGTATATAATTAATCCTTACTGCTTGTACTGGAAGAAAGAAATAAAATTACACTAATAATATTATCTTCCCTAAGGAAAACATAAAACCAAATACAAAAATGCAGGAATGGCAGTAATTCAGGTAGAAAAATAGGATTCCAACCATTATTGTCCCAACTTTGAGAAAAAGCAAAGCAAAGAAAAGCTTTTTTCACTAATTTCCTTAAATGATGATAACAGTACTTACATGTGAAGATTTCAGAAAATAATTCTTGTTGCATTTTTCTGATCCATGGCTTTAATGATAATGATAAGGTGATAATCTGCTAAGTTGACCTGGATTATTTACTTTTATTCAATATGATGATAATCCCCAAAACACAAGGTTTTCAATTGTTTATTAGCAGTTGGTTACATAATAAAACCAATGCACTAGACATCAGAGGTACATAGCACTCTAGATAGGTTTAGAGGTAGAGAGGGTGTGTAAATGGGTTAGAGAGAGATTAACTAAAGGATGATTAGCTCCAAGTTGTCAAAGGAAAAAGTGTGGGATTCTGCAAGGATATCCATGGGGTAAGGTAGAGATTACTAAAGGAGAAAGGGAGTATCAAGGGCAATTAGATTAAAGAGCATTTTTCAGGAAAGATGTCAGGAGGGGAAGATCCAAGGAAGGGCATTGTTGTGACAAATGGGAGTCGTGCGTGTTCCTGAAGTGGATTTGGTTAGGGAGATCTGAGAAGCAAAGCTTTTCTTATGAGGGGAAGATGATGAGTGGGCATTTGAGGGGTAGAGGAAGAGTTAAGTGGAGGAGAGGGTGTGGTAGGATGGGGTATAACGTTTAGATTGTCTGCTACAGGTAGAACGAGGAGGGAGAGTGGTAAGTGTCAGGGCAGTGGTAGAGATTAGGATGTTTGGATTTAGAAATGTAAAAGAAATTGATTTGGAGAGGGAGTTGAAGTGGACATGTAAGACCGAGGAATAGATACAGGGGAGGATCTAGAAACATCTTGGGAGGAAGCAGGAGAGATGGAGTGAAGGGCAGCATTGGTGTAATTTAATGGTTAATGGTTAGAATAAATAAATGTGCTAGACATCAAAGGTCATAGCACAATAGTAATGCAAAAAGGGTGGAAACGAGTTAATGATCTGGATAAGGTGAGTTCGATGTCAAAAGGTGTAGAACACTGTAGGATAGAATGTTAGTGAAAAGGGTATAGAGGGGGAGCAAATGGAATACAATGGGGTTTTGTAAAAGGAGACGTGGTTAAAGGTATAGGGCAATGAGATCAAATGGAGAGAGTGTCTATGGAAGGGAAAGTAATACTGTATGAGGGATCTGTAAAAGAGCTAATTGTAGTAGGGAGTAAGGGACTGTAGAAGAGATCATGAAAAATTGATCTCATTTGGCTGGACTTGCCCCTAGGCCGTTCATAACTGGCACAAAGTCAGCCTTTCATCCTTTCAACACTGCTCTCACACCTTAGGAAAGTGCATAGTAGAAGTTAGAAAAAAGAAGGAAAATAAGAAGGAAGAGAAGACCGTGCAAAATTAGTGGAGTCAAGGGCTGAGGCCCAAGGTAGGGGTGATACCTGGCATTGGGCCTCAGTATCAACCCCCTCCCCCCTCCCATGACAACAACTGGCAAGGTATTGGTGGATCCAATGGCAAAAATGGGCATGAGACTGGGAGGTGGTTAAAACCCACAATTCTTATGCAGACATACCTGAAGTAGAATGTTTTTTTCATGATTCTCTATCCATGTATGACAATAATACAAAGATTTGAAATACTACATCTTTATAAAAAAAATACCACATGACAAAGATGGGATGTATAAAGGTTATGGTATATTTGAACATAGTCTTGATCTTTACAACCACTCCATTCTTTCATCGAAGCAGATACTCTGGCCAAGAAGTAATATATTTCAGTAATACCACTGCAAGTAAATTTTTTCACTCAGAATATTTGGCCATCACCATGATGTTTGTATTACTATCACAGAACTGATGATGGAGAGCTAAGGGTAATCTGAATGCTAAAGATGATCCATGCATGGTAGCTACACTTTCAAAAGGTCTTCAGTGTGTATAATTAATCTAATAAATAAATCAGCCTCATCATCAAACATATTATTATTATTTTTTTTTTATAACAACTTACAATTTCAAATACAGGAAGCTTTTATTTATATATGTATAAAAACAATGGTACACAACCTAATGTATCAACATACTATAAATATTGTGGAAATCCACTAAATCTCCCTGAATTGGTTTTCACCATAGGTTTTACTGGATTTCTCTCAAGAAAAAAATAGGATGTTCCACTGAATACATACCACCTTCTGGTTTCTAGGTTTGAAATTAACTGCTAATTTACTTAAGTTATGATAACTGATAGACTTCTACAAAACCTGGTATGTATTTAGTATGGGGTATGCTTTTGAAGATGTTCACAGCTTCAGTATCATCAATCTGACAACAAAACAAGTTAAATAAACTATAAGAAGTATATTACAGATATTATTTATGACATCCTGAAGCTAAAAATCACTTTTTTTTATGCAACTGTCTTCGTAAATATACAAAACACTTTGTTGTACTTGATGTCAAAACAAACTTTCCACAAATAGTTTGCCCCTGTTTGCACCTTCACTTAGGTTAATGAGATATTGTGTCTTGTTAACAATTTGTTTCATCTTCTGTAAGCATTGCACCAAATCTAGTATTTCTCTTTTTTATGATATTATTTTCTGCAGATACAAATGGCTCTCATCTCATTACAGCTTCAATACTCTCTTAAGCCTATAATAATGAGAATTTTAATGAATCCATATAAAAATCTGTAACATCCTACAGTAATACTGAGGCAAACACAACATGCTTCCATCATCCATAATGTATCTTACTTCTTACTTCTTCCCTCTACCTCTACCTCTTCCACTGCCTCCTCTACTGCTGGGTAATCCTTTCCCTTTTACTTTACTAGCATCTGTCACCTTCTTTTGTCCACCCTTCTTGACCTGTAAATAAAGGGAGAACATTTTCTTAAACATCTACTGAAAGAAAATATTTGTAGGTATAGGGTATGAAAAGAATTATATAATTAAACTGTTTTCACATATAAAACCATATACGACACCATTCCAATAAGTAATACTGAATTATTTAATGTAACTTCACAAAAGACACTAGCCTTAATCATGGCATCTGAAGTTACATCATCATTGTCCTCTTCATCTTCCCCCATTTCTTCTTCATCATACATGTCATCACTCCTATTTCCCTTCTTTTTGGATATTTGTACAGCAGCATATGGGCTTGGCTGGCTTTCCTTGTTATAGAGGCGTGTGAAGGCAGCTTTGACCTAGAAATATAACACAATGATTCAACCATTTTATCCTCCATAATAGTATGTAGCTCTAAACAAAGCACTTATGTTAATAGAGTCATAATGGTTAATGGTTAGTGGCAAAAAGGTTAAAATAAGTTAATTATTTGTCATTTTGACAACTATAGAAAAAGTATGAATAAGAATAAATATCTTGTCAATGCAAGAGATGTATTTAATCAATTTCAAATTCATATATCTTGAATATCTTCTTCTGAAATACAAATATTTCTGACAAAGATATATTTGAAACTGGTTAAATACATCTCTTTTATTTGGAAGATATTCATTCTCATTCATGCCTTTTATAATAATGTATTAGATATCAAAGGTCATAGAGCACTAAAGGATAATATGGTAGTGAAAAGGGTAAAGAGGGAGAGCAAATGGAGTATGGCAGGGATTAGTATAAGGGGAAAGGGGGTTAAGGGCAAAGGGCAATTAGATTAAATGGAGTGTATCTATTTGTCTGAGAAGTCAGAGGAGAACAACCCAGGGAATGAGACAAAGGACCGGGGGAAGGTGAAGTATCAAGAAGAATGTCAAATCAGGAGGGGAAAGATCTGGTGAGGATCATTTGTGAGAGAAGGGAGTCATGTGAACATCCAAGATGGAGCAGAAGGGATAATGGGAAAGACGGAGGGATGGTGCAGATGGAAGGCAAAAGGATGGGGTGTGTTGGGTGGGCAGAAAGAGGGGTAGGGGGAATATGAAGAGGATGAGGATAGATGTTGGCAGTTACTTTGAATATAGAAGGAATGGGAATAGAGAGATTGAAAGGTGGAAGAGGGAGAGCAGCATTCTCTTTGGTCATATATAGAAAGTTTTGGATGTCCTCAAGAGTTTCTAGAAAGGTGTTGGGCAAAGAGGTATGAGAAAAAAAAAAAAGTTTTCTTATGAGGAGAAGAAAAGGAGCTAGATGGATAGCCTTGAAATAGGTAGCAAGAGAAAAACCTTGTTGGTATGGTTCCTGTCTGGCCTCACATAGTGAGACCACGAATCTGAGAACTGAGACTCAAACCTGTAGATAGAGCTTCTACTATAAAAATACATTATAGGAGCCACCACAACTGGTACACACCAAGTTGGGCACATAGAGGGCAGAAGGCTCAGCACAGTAGCCAAAATACCAACATTTCTAACATTGATTCAATATGGTCAGACAGGGCAGGAGACTCGAACAATGTATGGGGGAGGTTATATTTACAGAAGGTAATCAGTGATATTGGTCTAGAACTTACAATAGCCTGTAAGTGTAGCACAGTACTGATACTCCGTAAGTCAACAAGGAAGGCAATTAGTCAGTACTGATACTCCATAAGTCAACAAGGAAGGCAATTAGTCAGTACTGATACTCCATAAGTCAACAAGGAAGGCAATTAGTCAGTACTGATACTCCATAAGTCAACAAGGAAGGCAATTAGTCAGTACTGATACTCCATAAGTCAACAAGGAAGGCAATTAGTCAGTACTGATACTCCATAAGTCAACAAGGAAGGCAATTAGTCAAACTTGTCAGGGCAATCAGCAGGGGGAGGGGGGGCAAACTTGTTGGAAACTTGCATATGACATCGGGTAATGACATTACACATAGATATGAGTTTGTGAATGTCCAAAAACATTTTTATACCAGTATCAGAAAAAAATGTTAATCACAATGGTTTATGATGTAACATTCACAGTGAATTTTTCTTTCAAAATGTAAAATCAACAATTACATCTGCTGTAGCTTATAAAGTGGGCAGTATGTGTACAAAGAATAAGTCTAAACCATGATAACATTTTAGTTTGGCTTTATTCTGGTGGTTGGTACCCTTCATGGTCTTTTTTTCCCATTGTAAAGAGTACTTTACATGTTAGAGGTGGATTTCTGAGTTTAGAAAAATGAGTAAAATCTAGTCTACTTTATACTAGAGTCAGAGTTCATAATGACTTCTATTGTCATTATGAACTCAATTGTCTCTAGTATATAGTAGACTAGATTTTAATCCTTTTTCCTATTGTAAAATACAGCTTTATGTAAATTAAACAATCGGGTTACTGAATACCCTTCATAAGTTAAAATAGTTACTTGAAAAAAAAAAAAAAAAGCGCTTGGACTACCCACCCTACCCTTGTGCCCAATGGTTTATAATCAATTACTTGCTTACATAATGGTTAATGGTTAAAAGCAAAAATAAATGTGTTAGACATCTAAGGTCATGTAGCACTATAGTAAATGTTAGGTAAGAGGGGGTTAAGTTAGTGATTAGTTGTCAAAGCTGGGCAAAGGAATTGGTGAGTGAATGGGTTAAGGTCGGGTGAGGTAATGTAAAGGGGTTAGATTAAGTGAGGGATATTAATGCGTTTGAGAGGAAAACAGGTTGTCGAAGCAGAATAGGTTGGGAGGTCGGTGAAGGGAGGATAGGTGGGGGGAAGCAAAGCTAAGGCTGCTGCAAAACGTGTGCATGATAATAGAATGTGTGAGACTGAAAGAGGAACATTACATAAGGAGCATAGGGGTGGATCGGATTGCAACATCAGATAGGGGTGTGTTAGACGGGTGTGAAAGGGGATGCTTGTGATATAAGGGATTCACGTGTGTATCCAGGAGGGAGTGGAAGGGATAGAGGGGATGGTGGGAGGGTTAATGTGGGTGGGGTTGGAGTTGGGGGGGATGGGCTGTGTTGGGAGGGGGTAGGAAGATAGGGTGTAGGGGGGATATCGTTAGTCACTTGGTGTGTGGAGGGAGCAGGAGTTGTAGGATTTGAAGGTTGATGGGGGTCAGTTTTCATTAAGAAGTCTTGGATATTTTCAAGAGTTTCTTCAATGGAGTTGGTTGGGGAGTTTTGTGGGATAAAGGATTTCTTGTGAGGGGGGGAAGAGAATGCTGGTGTCTCAAGAGTAGGGGCAAAGGAAGGTGGAGGTGATTGTGTGGTAGGGGAAGAGGGGGTGGAACGTTTGTTTTGTCTGTTGCGGGTAGTGCGGGGAAGGAGAGGGGAAGGTGTTGGGATTGTAGTGGAGATTGGAGTGTCTGTAGTAGAGATTGGAGTATCTGTATTTAGGATGGCAAAAGAGTTTGACTGGGGAAGGTAGGAGGTAGAAGAGGGGGAGTTAGATGAAGGGGGGGTAGGTTTAGGAGAGGATGTAGGAGCTTGGGAGGTAGGGGAAGTGGTAGAATGAGCAATATTACTGGAGTAGGTATTAAGAGAAAAACCTTGTCGTCGTGCTTCTTGTCTGGCTTCACATAGTGTGAGTCCAAGTTTGAATCTGAGAGTTGCTACCTCAGACTCAAATTTGTAGGTGGGGCATCCCCTATAAAATACATTATGAGGGCCACCACAGTTGGCACATGTGCGTGATTGTGCAGAACAGTTTGATCGAGTATGGCCAGGTTGGGCACATAGTGGGCATCTGGCTCTAGAACGGCAATGTTTGGCTGGGTGTCCTAAATGCCAACAAATTTGGCACTGACGAGGAGGAGGTTGGTCGGACAGGGAGGAATTCTCCACCTATGTAAACATTAAATGGGGGTCATGTCTACGGAAAGTAATTTTGGCGATGTTAGTGGGTTTCTTACGATGACCTCTGGGAGGAATGGAGTAGCATTGTATTGATGTCGCATCATAGTCTGTGAGACAGGCGAGTAAGTCTTCTCCACTATCTGACCAATCTTTGTCATAGATTGGGCAGTTTTCTGGGGAGATAGATACAGTTCCAGTGCAAGTATTGAGGGTTGGATGGGTTCTGCAAGGATAATCGGGTTAAAACCTTGTCGTCGTGCTTCTTGTCTGGCTTCACATAGTGTGAGTCCAAGTTTGAATCTGAGAGTTGCTACCTCAGACTCAAATTTGTAGGTGGGGCATCCCCTATAAAATACATTATGAGGGCCACCACAGTTGGCACATGTGCGTGATTGTGCAGAACAGTTTGATCGAGTATGGCCAGGTTGGGCACATAGTGGGCATCTGGCTCTAGAACGGCAATGTTTGGCTGGGTGTCCTAAATGCCAACAAATTTGGCACTGACGAGGAGGAGGTTGGTCGGACAGGGAGGAATTCTCCACCTATGTAAACATTAAATGGGGGTCATGTCTACGGAAAGTAATTTTGGCGATGTTAGTGGGTTTCTTACGATGACCTCTGGGAGGAATGGAGTAGCATTGTATTGATGTCGCATCATAGTCTGTGAGACAGGCGAGTAAGTCTTCTCCACTATCTGACCAATCTTTGTCATAGATTGGGCAGTTTTCTGGGGAGATAGATACAGTTCCAGTGCAAGTATTGAGGGTTGGATGGGGTTCTGCAAGGATAGGGTTACCATATAAATCAGTTATTTTTGATAATGCTTTAGTTTGGTTTTCGGATGTTACTGTAATGAGATGGGAGCGGTCGGGTCGGCTACGGAAAGAGACTTTGCCTACTTGTTTTTGGAGACATTGCTGGAAGAGAAGGATGTTGTCAGAGTAGGGAGCTGTGGGAGGGATCACAAAAAAATCGGTACCATTTGGCTGGGCTAAATAGAGTATTTAAGATTGTTGTAGAGATGGGGGTAGTAGAAGGGCGGGGGCATGTTGAAGAGGGAGTAGTGTTGAGGGAGGTAGTGTTATGGAGAGGTGGGCAATAAGGCTGTAAGGAATTAATAAGGGAGGATGAGGTAGTTGATGTAGAAGGTTGTGGAGGTAGAGGTGTTGAGCATGATGGGAGAGTAGGAATGTCTCTAGGGGGTTGAGTGTTGACTACTGTACTAGTAGGCATTGAGTAGGGGGTAGTTGTTGCAGTGTTCAGAGCCGTAGCTCTGCTAGTCCTGACTTGACCTTTCCTTGAATTGGCAGGAAAAAAAAAAATATTCTTACTAGTGCTATAAATATAGATGGTGTTATTTTTAACAGCAAATTAGGATAACGTTAAATATTTTCATAAATCGATGAAAAGGGTAAACAGGCGAGACAGCAGTACTCGTAATTAGCTTACTGGTGACTTTGTACAAGTGTAGCC